AAACCATGTAGGGCTCCACATAGTCAGTAGTGAGAAATACACTTTGAGGATTTAGTTCAACTCATCTCTGCTTTGCAGAAAGCCATCTTCAGTAGAAAATCCAGTCACCTCCTTTTGCCAACCCTAACAGCTGGATCTTCCCAGAGGTGCATAACCTGCTGTGCACAAGTGTGCAAGGTGATACAGCTGCATTTTTCAAGGGTTCCCTGTTTGAAAGCCCTAAGGGTCTTGTTCCCACAATTTATTATACCCAAACTGAAGTAAGTTGTGTCAGTGATTTGCATTTCTAAGAGCATAGGTATCAACAGCCCTTGCAAGCTGGGATGGATGATTTCATTAAAGGTTGTAGAATAAAGGTTAATCATCTCAGCTACAGCTTGGCAATAGCTCGGAACAAATTTTTGGATATGAGTGTAAGAAAATACTGGTTTAAATGCTTTCCCCGCAGCTTTGAATGACAATGAGATGTCTGAAACAGAAAGCATCACTTGAACTGCAAGCAGCAACTGATAAGGAAACTGGGGCAGAGGGAATGACTCAGTTGGCTGTGGTGCAGTCTCAAATCCACATGGGGCTCTGGAAATGTTCATCCGTGCCAGTGGTAATGCAGCAACCGCAGAGATGATTATGACAGTCATAGAAATCTGGAGAGCAGTAATGAAAAATAACCAATGCAATAAACCACTGGGAACTTCAGAGTCAAAGGGCACAAAGGACAACATTTTGAAAATAAAAGGAAGAAAAGAGACTGAGAGGATCTTTGATCTAAAGGCTTCTTCCTGCAGGTTTTATCTCTCCAGACACAAAAATACAAGGCTTATGTCTATTCCCTTAAGAACTGAACAGCACGTCAAAGAGGAGAGGGAGAGAAAGCCTTCCAAGATAACATTTAATCATCATAAAAATGAATGCATGAATGTCACAAAGAGAAAGAAGTGCATATATCTTAAAAATCAATATGTTACAGAAATCTAACCAAAAAGTAAAAAAAAAAAAAAAAAGAAGTGCAATATTGTGTGCAGTGACTTGGACAGAATACGATAGATAAATATACACTGCCAGATGATCTCCTTTTGTAAGAGGACTATCTCATGTCTTTTTTTCCCAATCAAATGATCCTTCATCCTGACAGATGATATATTGATTCTTACTTGTCCTGTTTTGGGGCTTCTTGGAAGTATTTTCCATTCTTTTTTCTTTTCAATTGCTTTTTTCAATGTGTTTCCTGTATACATTAATAGGTCTTTAGGAGCCCATTACAGAAAGCAATGTTTAGCATAACTCCATCCTTGTATCTCATTTCACACTTCTAGTGGCAATCACGTGGTATCCCCTATGGGGAAAGGGCAATTCTCAAACTGTGTTTAAGACCTTATTCAGGAAATCAGAAACCCTAACACAGTTCCATTGTCTCTCTATCAGGAGCAGCAAATTTAGAGGCTGAAACCTTACCTGTTCCCTAGCTTGTTTGGCACCACCACCCAAACCAATGTACATTGCATGTCAGGAACAAATATGGAAGCAGAAGAAATAGAGGAGTGTTGTGGGTCCTTCAAATTCCAGCCACCACACTCCTCCTGGGATTGGCCTAGGTGATTGTATTTCTTCACTAGTTATACATGTGCTCTGACGCTGTCTGCTCTGCCCTTATTGAAAATCAGGCTTGGTTTTGCCTGCTTTGCCTCACGTTTTTTGCAACCACACACACGTGCCAGTTTTTCTCAGCTCTGCTTTAATTGAGAGAGGCTTTAAGGTGTGGCTGGAGACCTTGAGTTGGGAGTTACCCAGTGGGGCACATCACGGTCCATTAACCCCTGGAGTCCCAACCAAAGCCCTTTCTTATGCGGTGTGTCCCCCACACGTCACACTTGCTACTGACCTGTATGTGGGAATATGGTAACTGACATTTAGCTCTGTGGACCCACACATGTGGTAAAACTCCCCAAGAAACACAGACTGGATCAAGCTGGATGAGATGAGCAAGCTCCTCAGTGTGCCATAGCATCCTGAGAGAAAATAGCAGAGCCACATCACTTTCCTTCAGAGAAGCATTTTACTAAAACCCTACAGAGGATTCAACATACATCCCTCCTCATCTGTGTGCTGAATGGAGGGAGATGTGGGCACTCCCATTTCCTTGGTAGGATGCAACAGTGTGTGGGGCCAGCACATATCATTATCACTGGCCCGAATTCAACCTTGAAAAAATTCAACTGACCCCACATCTTCTGCGTAACAGCGTGCAAATGACCCATGTGTCTGTGGAGGTTGGTCATTGCTGGAGCACTGAGGGTTTCCCATCTGCAAGAGGTGGTGTTCTCAGCACACCTCTGGTCCTACACAGTCCCCACTTCCTCTTCAAAAGTGACTGATGGAGATCCAGAAAGAGACAAAATGTTGATTACATTCCCAATGCTATTTAGGAGAGTAATGCTTCAGGCAGGTATTTAGTGGGACTTCCAGAAGCATTTCTATAGAGCTCATTCCTGCACTTCCCTGGCTCTCATGGTCCCCCAAAGGCAAGTATCAGGGCTCTGGGGCACAGGCTTGACCAGCCCCACCAGGACACCCACCCAGGTACCCAGAGTTGCAGCACAGCCCTGAGCACCCGGTCCCCACCTGAACTGCACTCTGCCTCTTGGCCGGACCTGCTGCAAGCCCAGGTTGAAAACACATGAAAAAAAACAATAGAGCATCTCTGGGGAGACAGAGATGCTTGCAAGCTGTAGGGTGACTCTGCCAGATGTTTTTGGGCAAGGAATACCTCAGGCATCACCTCTCTGCCCTGATGCTTTGCAGAGGGCAGAGCTCTGGTCTCCCATTGCTCCTGCTGTCATACTCTTTATTTCTAAGTAGGTAGCATCTCCTGAGTCACCCCTGTCCCAGGTCTGTTTCCCTGACTCAGGTGTTGTACACTACCTAATAGAAGCTTTTATTTTCAAATCTCTTCCTCTGGGACAGAAATAATGCGGTTTTTACCTCCCATGAACATCAACCATGCCCTTACTAAAATTAAAAGGCAACATCATACACTCTTTCACTCCTGTACCAAGACAGCTTTAGGTCTCAGTGTCTTAGGGACTTAGAAGTAATATAAAATATGCTTGGCAAAAGACAGGCCTTGGTATCTGGTTTGAGTGGGAAGGAGAAAGATTTCACACTGAGGGGGTGCCACCTTCCCAGCTGGCCTCTAAATCTAAGCATGCAAATCCCTCATTTGTCTGGACAGACCACATATTTTAAAAGCTTTGGGGTTTTTCTTTAATTGGTTTAAGAGCTTGGCTAGTGCAAAAGGTACAGTGCAAAACCAGCTCTGTGTTACGCACGATTCTGGGTTGTCTCACCACTCTTTCCGCAGCCTGAAGTGAAAGAAAATAACAGAGCCGATTACGGGCCTCAGCTACATGCTTTGCATGAGGTTTACATGCCTGGGAGCAGCTTGGGATCTCTCTGTATATTTTATAAGTGCTGTTGTTTAGATTTGTGTTTTGCAACAGATATAAAGCAGAAACCATTCTGAAGACCTCTCTGCTAGGAAGATTTTTCCTGCCTATTATTAGCACTCTGCTTTTGCAGCAAGCACTCATGAGCCAATATGCAGGGTTTTAAAGGACTTCAAAGTGTCATTGGGAACCAAGTGATATGTGTGTTAAAAAGGGTTTAATGGAGCTGCAGTCGCTATAGCACAGTGTCTTTTTATAGCAAGTTTTTACAGCATTAAGAAAAACATCCTGCAGATTTCAGTAGGATTGGCATATGGATAGGGTACTTTGCACTATGATTTTTGTTTATGTGCTATTGAAAAAAAAAGAAAACCAGCACTGCTAGCTATAGGGAGAATGATAAGCAGGAAGAGTTCTGCAAAACTCAGGCAACAGCTATTGCCTCTATTTTGGGTTTAATTATTCTCTCCTTTTTTTCAAAGAAAAGTGTATATTTGAAAGCCAGTAGTTTGACTTAGAGAATGGAGATATGAAGTGATTTGTATTCACATTGAAGATTTTTAAGTTATTGGGTTTTTTTTTTCCCCCAGAGCCACTGGATTATATTATCATTAGCAAAAGGCAAATCCTGCTTATCAAAGTTGAGGTAAACTTTCTGGGACTGTCTTTAAAAAAGTCCCAAGGAAAGAAGTGGTTTGCAAAAACCACATTAAATACTAAAGCGGATCTGATATCTATGTGATCATGTTGATCTGCAGGAATTGGCAGGAATTTTAATAGATCTGCTAGTTTTCCTTTTACAACACCATTTATGAGTCTCCTTTAATTATTTCTGGGAAGCATGCAGGGATACCAGATGAGGCAGGCTCCTCATTGTCCTTTAGCAACCTGTGTTAACAGCCTGTCCATTTCTGAGAGAGGCAGGCAAGGAGTGGAAAGGAAACACAAGTACCCGTGGCCCACTGGGAGGGCAAAAGACTTGCCCAGGGTTATACAAAAAGACATACAGTGTCTGGGATGTAGCTGTTTGGACGTGTTCCACCTCTGAAGCAACGTCATTTAAAAATGTTTTACTCCCTGCTTTTGCTTCAGGCTGGGGAACAACTGGTTTCTGCCTTATCTGAGGGATTGGGGAAAAAAAAAAAAGTATCAGGGAAACCTTTGGTTGTTGTGACTGCCAAAGTAGGAACAGCTCAGGATTTCTCAAGCCTCCCAGGCAGCTGAGGGCTGCGAGCAAATGTGCTCAAAGCTGATGAGAACCGGGGTTCTGCTCCCAGTGCTGCTCTTACACTGGCAGCTGTTTCCCATTCCCGTGGCTCGGTCCCAGCAGAACTAAAGCCCTGGCAAAACCCCAGCGTGGCAGCCCCGTCCCTTCTGCCCCTGCTGCTCTGGCTTGAGCAGCCTCTCATTTTTCGCACCCAGTCCTCCCAAACGGAAACCCTGGTCGAAAATCTTACACAAGCAGCCGGAGAGATATTTCTTTTTCTTGTCTGCAGAGGAGGGCAGAGGAGCAGCGGTGCGGGGGGAGGAGGGTTTGTGAAGTTGGTTTCTTTTTTTTTTCTTCTTTTTGCAACACTAGTTGTTCAGGGGAGTGTCTTGCGTTATTAATGCTGAGTGGCTCCGGCAACTACTGCGGTTCAAGGTCGTTACTCATCCGCTGCTACTGCAGGAGACACGGGAGCGCTGAGCCAGGGCTGTTCATCCAACCCTCTTGGTCCTCCCAGGCCAGCAGGTTGGGAAGATCTACACGTGGGGCAGCGGGGTCGCGTGGGGGTGTGGAGAGCAGCCCCGGGCCATGGGGTCATCCCAGTCTGCTCATGGGGTGCCTGAGTGTGTGGGACCTGCTGGGTTTAGTGGGTGGCAGCGCCTGAGAGGGGCTGAGGGGTGTGCAAAGAACAGGGCTTGGGGGAGCACCTGCAACGTGGGAGTGGGGGGATCCTCCATGCACCTCGTGAGAGGGCAGATGTCTGTATGCCTACCTGGGTATCTGCATCACTTACAGCTGCAGAGGCATGCAAGTCTCCTTTCATCTCAAACTGTAGGAATGCAGAATGCTCTTGGAGCACGTCCACATGCACCCTTCCTGCCTGATTTCTTCCTTTTTTCCTTCCTTAGGATGAAGGGCCCTAGGCAAACATTCCTTAATTTATTCTGCATCCTCTGGCTCTTGCTTCTGCCGAAGGCTGCCTCTTCCTCTGCTCTACCCCATGAAAATGAACGACCACCCCCTTCACTCCCCATTGGGCTGTACAAAGGACAGACCTGTGTTGGTATGTATCCAGGTTTTGTTTGCCTGCTGGATTTGTTCATTTGTTACTCCACTGGCGAGCTGAGAATTGCTGTGCACATCATAAATCGCTCCTTTATCTGTTTCAACAGCTGTACTGCAAAATACTTGTAGTCTTTGGTGAAACAGTCACTGAAGATTTTGCAAGGCCATCGTGGGGTCTGGAGTTATTTTATGATTTTGTTTTTCAGTGGCTGCTTCCCAAAGTTCATGTTTTTGCTCTGTAAGCAATGGTATCTGAAAAGCTGGATTTAATGTCTATAGGTCTGGGACATGGAAAAAGGATGTTGTGAGGTCCTTGTGTCTGTTAGTGTTCACGATGCATTTTGCTTAACTGCAGGAAGGCACAGTTTCCTTCAGACTTGCCCAAGTCTCCCCATTGACTTCACTGCCTTGGAAACTCTTCTTAAGAGTGGTGGGTCCATATTTGGGACAGAGTGCTTTGTGGTCTGGATGGTCATCTCTGAACAGCCAAGTTGTAAAGGCTGATTCCTCACATTTCCTTTTCTTTTTTTGAGTGCATGACCTGTACTAAAGTGAGGCAAGTTGGCAACACCCCTCTAGTGTGACTTTAGTTAGACTGTGGTGATCTCCACAAGATCTATAGCTGGCTAAGGGATTACCAAAGCAAGAATGGTAACACCACAGTAAGTTTAAACTGTGACTATGTCTGCATCAGAAATGCCCTTGTCATGAGACTGTATACCTCTAGAGATGTGGGATCTCATGTTTTTTGTGTGTGCAAATGTGAAATGAGGGGTATGTCTTATGCATTACAGTCAAATGCTTTATTTTGTCTTTGGTTGGACTCATTGGTTTTAGAGGTCTTTTCCAGCCTAAATAATTCTGCGATTCTTTTAGTTTCCCGGGGCACGGGCACTTTTTGTACTGTAAACATAAATCCTGTCACAACTCTCCATCCTTCAGAAGGAAGCAATTCTTTTCCCTGTGGCTCAAGGAATAAAATTAGAAATAATATTTTTAAGCTTGATAAAACCAGATTTTTACCTCACTTCTGAGCCATACAGAGTGCCCCTGAAGGTTTTGATGGCTAGAGAGGCAAGGTGAACCAAAAGTGGAACCAAGTGGAAGTCAGGGTGGTGAGGCTTGTGCAGCCCCTGATGGAGTTCAGCCACCAGACGGAGCATGAGAACAAGTGGTGGAAAGCAGAAATGACTGTCAGGGACTGGCCTTGTTTTGACTGGCAGCCGCGCAGGATGTGACTGAGCAGCTGCCAGAGCGAGGGGGAAGTGGTGTTGATTAATGGTGAGATCTTTAGGGTGCTACCATTTTGATGGCACAGGAAAGGCAGTGACCATGCTCATCCGTTACACTAAACACTTTACACTAGCGTTTTTTAGATGTTAGGTGTGAGCATTGTCTGCCCTTTCCATCCTGTTGACCCAGCAAAGTTCTAAATTCCTATAGTGACTGCACATAGCATTGATGTTGCCTTATGCAAGGTCCTCTTTTCCCTCCTAAAGATATGAGAGCTGAATCTGCCCCATTGCTGGGACCACTGAACATCTACCTGGCTCCTGTCTCCAGTGAGGGAACAGGAAAAACACTGCCTTTCACACCAGTTTCTCTTTCTGAAGTGCCCCTTCAGCTAAAAACATCCTTGTGAGCTCAACTCAGGACCAAAACAGACTGTGGCCCACCTCTGTAAACTGCAAGACAAAAACAAAGTGTGGCAAGTGTTAAAAGTGCATGGGCCAGGCCTGGCAGGAAGGGCTGGTGGCTACTAGCCCAGATGTCTGCCACTGGGCTTTTACTGATTTGTTAGCTCTCTCAACTAACTCTTGAAAACACTTACCATGTCCCTTCCATAGCAGTTGGTCTATAGCAGTTTCTAACCACAACCAAATAAATGGCCTTCCTTTGGCCTTGTCATGAGAAAAACTTTACCAGCATGTGACAGTTTTCTCCATCAGTGTTTCCTGTCTCCGCAGGCTGGAAAAATGCCACCCTGTTTGTGGGTGTGAAATCAGCTCAGGGCCTTCCTCTTAGCCTTTTGCACACTCTGCATGTGATCTATTCTTCTGGTTTTTCCACACAGTAGATAAAAGGGCTTTTGTAATTTTTCCTACATAGAATCATAGGATCCCAGAATATGCTGAGTTGGAAGGGACTTCAAGAACCCATGAAGCTGTTTTCCCTCCTGTAAAGTCAGTGAGATTTGCTCTGTGCACTCATTTGGGAGCTGTATCCTGGGTCTGGCTTTCCTATATCTGTTTGTTACTGATGGGCAGTATGGCTTAAGAGGTTTACTCAGGATCAGACCTAGAAATCTTTTGCTGAGAGCAGCCTAACAGTTTCAGTGTGGCATCCTGAGAAAGAGATTCTCTGTATTTTTCTCTCAAAAACTAAGCATGAATGAACCCTTCAGACACCCAGGTCTCTGGCTTTCCCATCAGTCAAATGAGGAAAATACTGCCCATTTCACAGGGAAAGCAAAGTTTTACTTAATGTTAAGGTACCCAAAGACAGTACAATAACACTGGTAACTGCTGACAATAGTGTTAATGTTTCATCATACCTGAGATCACATTCTTTGTTTCTCTGTATTTAAAAAAATTTTTCTATTAATTTTTAAAGATTTTATTCCATACTGCTTTCCACCCTGAATTACAACAGAGCCCTTTAGGGGATTTTGCAAACTGTCATGGTCTTTAGCAAGGTTGACTTTGTCCAGAGGTGTCTGAAGCAACCTCAGGAAAGGCAGAAACTGTCTTGGAGGGTGCAGAAAGTGGGGGAGACACTGAAAGACAGAAGGGGACTGCTGTATTCATCTGTCTGCAACATACTGAGGAAGAAATTTGGGGAATGGTAGCTTAGTTAGTTAAATGTCAATTCCTAGAAAAATCCTGAAATAATAAGGCATTTTAAAGGCACCTTTCAAAAATAGTGTCAGATCAGTCTAATTTTCTTTACCAAGGGTATAATGGCATGTAGACATGGAGGAAGCAGTAGATATTATAGCTGAACTTTAGTAAGGCTTTTGGCACTACTTCAGCACTAGTCTTATGGCTGAGAGATGTGACATTGATTAAGCTTCTACAGGGCAGGACAAAACTGGTGGGTAGCCTTGCTCAGAGAGTAATTACAAGTGGCTCACTCCCTAAGCAAAAGGATATACAAAATTACATCTTTCCTGGACTTCTCTTTTGAACACACTATCATTCCATATTTTCATTAGCCAAGATAATGGAATTTGTGTTATTAAATTAGCAGCTCATATACGGCTGAAATGGTTTACAAGTACAATGAAGGGCAGAATTAAATTCAAAACAATCTTGACAACTTGGAGTACTTGCACCTGCAAAGGTAATTTCGATATGGGAACACTGAAGGCACTTCAGCAGAAATAGTCCATGGCATGTAGCAGATGAGGCCCAACCAGCTGGATGGCATCCCTAGGGAAGATCATCTGGGCTTGTGGAGGCACAGCGATGGCATGCTGTCATGAATCACACACACACACAAGGCACGCAACAAGACGTGTGAACAGAAGTTAGCTGGCAAGACATGTGAAGTAACCCGTTACCTTTCTCAGCATTGACAAAGCATCAGAGGAATTTCTGCCTTGCCTTTTGGGGCTGTGCATCAAGTATGATGCAGAGTGACAGGAGGTTTCAGAGAAAAACAAGCGTAAGCTATAAAGAAAGAGTGAATAAATTAGAGTTAATCAGTCTAGAGAAGAAAAACTTGAGAAAAACATGTCTGTCCTTGAAAACATTAAAAGGGTGATCCGTTCTCAAGGTTCATAACAGCTATGGCAAGAAATAACAGAAATGGGTACCAGTGGGGACATTCAGGTTAGGAAGAAGATTTTCTAAGGGCAGTAATAAGTGAGCACAGTCATTAGTTCCTGAGGAATCTGTAGAAGACCTCATTAGAGATTTTTACAGGCTGTGTCTAGACTGTCCCTTTGGAATGGCCTAGATGGCATAGATCAACTGCTAGAGCAGAGGTTGGGTAAGAGGACTTCTTTCAGGATAGTGCTTCCGGTGTTCGGTGCTGTGACTGCAAGAACCATTTGCAAATAGCAGCATTTATTTATTTTCTCCCCAGCAGCCAACTGCCCTGCTCTATTGGCGATTAAGTTTGGTTGCCCTTTTTGGAGTGAGGTGATTAGTCAGGGAGCGCTCAATACAACCAGACAGCAATGCTGTCCATCTTCTTTGCTAGTGAGCAGAGATCCTGTGGGTCAGCAGCCAGGGAAGCAAATTTCCCCATCTTTGTGCTCGATATAATGCCATTCTCAGCAACCTTTGCAGGTCAGCACTTCCATTCAGCAAGGAGCACACAATTCCTAGTGTATGAAGAAGCATGTTTTTGAAACATATTTTTACCTCTGATTACACTGAAGGAACAGATGTTTCTGAGCTACCAGCAGCGTAAAACGCTGACCTCTACCTGTGTTGATTTGCGTGGTTGTCATTGTCCTCAACAGTTTGCCTCAGTCTAGCTGTGCATGAGTGCAGGGATGAAATGTGCCCCGCAGAGTGGCAGCAGGACTGGTGGCGTTCGGAGCTCCCGATAACTTCACACAATGGAACATGCCAAATGGAGCTGGAGGCTTTTAACAACTGTGCTCAGACAAAGTGGCTGTGCAGATATTGTCTGGGGAGGCACCATGACAGAACGTATAATTTACAGCTCAGTGAGTTCTGTAAAAAGGCCATGCCCAATATCAATGTAGCACCACAATGTATTTTACTCTGAAAGGCTGGGAATTGACTTTGATTACAGCTAAACCGGTGCCAAGCCGCAGCACCTCTGTTCAATTCACCGGCATTGCTTAGTTTGTTCGGTGGCAAAATTTGGCCTGTTGGTCAGCAATAAATAATAAATTTGGCCATAACATTTTTTTCCTATGATTATACTTTAGATAGAAAAGAACAAGCATGGGAGTAGTAAAGTGCAGTAGAGATACTAAAACAAGTATTTGGCAACTGATGGTAAAAATGTCATTTCCAG